TGTGGATATTTTTAACAATCGGTAATAAGCTCTCCCAGTCATTGATATCAATGCTGTCACATCTCAAGAAAAGCTTCATTGTATCTTTATAGTGATTTCTTTGTCCTCCCCTGGAGTGTTAGGAGAACAGGTCCTATTCTTCTTCAGGACCTATACTTCTTGACTATCCGGAAACAGTGTCCAGTTCACTGTAGATGATTCTGCAGATTTTTTTTTGCCTAGATTCCTGTGGAGCTGACTTCAAGAAGGACACTAGCATTTGTTTATCAGTCCTCCCATTGAGAGAAATCATATTATGGCAGAGGTTGTAAGTATTTTTTCATCTAAAATAGTTTACACGTTGTTGGTGAAATTTCTCTTGCTTTATGTGTCACTGATAAATAGTCCAGGTTTTATTGAAGGGTAGGCATGCATGTTGACAGCTGCTCTGTACATTTCAAGTTATGTTGACTTCTACAGATCTTTGTTGTCAAATATTCATTGTTGTAGTTTGCAGGAAGCTTAACTGGCGCAGGTAATCCTGTTTTGGATCTCCTTGTCGGTGGTGGCCTTTTGAGAGTTGTGTTTGCCAAAGTATGGGAAGTGCTGAACATATTCCAATGTCTCTCTTTCAACACTTATGAGAAGTGGGATATTTGACTGATCAGGCTTGGGTTGAGATATATTGGTTTGGCAACATTAAAGGATAGGCTGAGTATCTTGTATATAGAATTGAATAGATTGAGAATGGCTTACAAATCTGGTGCAGAGTGGGCAATGACTCTACTGGGACAATGGCTCTACTACAGTCATCCAAGTGCTGTAGGTCACATACACCTATAGTGGTGTGTATAGTCTTAGCACAAAGGTGACGGAGTTTTCTATCTAAGTAGTATTTAATACTCACATCAAACGCCATTTGCCTTTGGTGAAGTGAATGGCCAACATCAGGTAGAGTGTAAATAGTGTAGCAGCTACCATATAGACTTGCTTGACACTGGCATTGATTTTGAAGGCATGTGTTTCAGATCTTCACCTCACAACAGTTGCAGTTGTATCCTTGTTTAGAATTTGCAGGATTGTGATGAAGTTTCTTGAGCATCCAAACTCTGGAGATCAGTACAAAGAGCTTTGAAATTTATAGAATGAAATATCTGCTCAGGTTGATGAATGCCATGAAAAGTTTCTACTAGTGTTCTTTACTTTTTTTGTTGGATTTGCCGGGCAACAAAGAGCATGTGAGAGGTTCCTCTGCAAGGTCTACAGTTATACTGTGTTTCTAGAGGATATCTGCAGTCATTGGAAATAGGTGACAGCATATCAGGAGTTCCCCTGCTACAGACAAGAGGGCAATGTTCTGATAGTTTCCTCAATATGATTTCTCTCACTAACTGAAGACAATTATAACTGTTGTATTCCTGAAATCAGGTGCGTTGCAAGTAGCTCTTTTCCAACCCAATTCACAGGACAAGTGTATGGAGCTTTGATGTGAACAACGGCGCAAATTCTTTGAAGACTTCAGTTGGGATACATCAGGGTTACAGGTTTTGTTGTGTTCCATCCATTTCATTTTTTTTTTTGCAGCTCTTCCATTGATGGTGGCCTACCAATGGCTTCTACAGCAGGGTGCTGAGATAGCCTAGACAGCATCAGCTGCTACTGTGGATTCATTATTGATGAATTTGAAATGTTCTTTCCAATTTTGATGGATGGCATCTTTAAGAGAGACATAATCTGCGACCAAAGGAGCTTTTGTCCATTTGACATTGGTCTATAGATTACCATGGTGGCTTCAAAAATGTTTTGCTTCGGATGAAGGTCAGTATACTGTTGGAATTCTTGTGTTTTCTCTTCCAACCACTTGACTTTTATCTTCCAGATTTATCTTTAGCTGTTGGCCTGAGTTGTTGGAATGCTACTTTCCTGACTGGCGATCTTGGGGTTGTTCTGCAATGCAATAAAAGTTGCTTGTTCTTGATCCAGAAGGTCATATATTTCAGCTTAATTTTTGTCAAACCAGTCCTGGTGACAACAATGATTAAACCCAATGATCTAGTCACAGGGATCTAGTACAGCTGACTATTTGATACCACTCTTCTGAAATTAAATTGATTGTGTGAAGATTTTTCCGATTTGTTCTCAAGCTGCTTTTTGAAACTCACCCCTTCGGTCTGGTTACTTTAAGATCGAGACATTGATATTGTTCATCTTGGAACGTTGGTTCTTACAATATCTTTGTATGAGTTGGATGTTCATAGCAGATTGAAAAAGCCAATGGTCAGTCCAGTGCGCATCAGATCCCAGCATGGATTGAAATTACAGGCATCACATTGATCTTGACTCAAACAATGAGATAATCCAGGAGGTTCTGGTGCTATGATCAAGGGGGTCTCCATGTGATTTTGTATATGTCCTTCTGGCAGAAGATATGTTTATTATAATGAGGTTTTGCTAAACACAATTTGTCAAAAGGAAGGCACTATTTGCACTGGCTTTTCACATCCCATTTTTCCCAATGGACATTGGAGACACAGCCAACTCTGGCATTAAACCTCCCTAGAAGATTAGTTTTCTCTCCTTACGGGACGGCAGTGAGAACTTCATCAAGGATAGAATAAAATTTTTCTTTAACATTTTCATCTGAGTCAAGGTCCTAGGCATAAGTGCTGACGGCTATGGCACATTGATTATGGCTGAGCTAAAAGTTTAATGCTATAAACTTTAATTAATACAACTGGGGAGTTCAGGTGGTGCATTCAAGATTCTATTCTGGGTGGCGAAACCAATTAAATGCAGATGACGGTCTCTGTCAGTCTTACCTTTCAGCAAGAAGGTATATTACCAACTTGTTCCCTCAGGAAGGCCTTATTGATGCTAACAATGGCAATGTAGAGTCCCGGTAACTGCTTGTATTACAGAAGCAGCATTAAGATAGCTGTGAGGCCACTATTATCCATTAACCATGATAATGCTGTTGCTGTCATCCTGAAAAGGGCTGCTGTTTTAGGTAGTAGACTCTTAATATGCGAGTCTGGTCCCACATCACATACAGAGGACTCTAGTTGCTATTTTCAGGCTCAATTGCACAGAGTGAAAAGCTTTAGTGCTTTGGCCAAATTTGCAGGCTGCAGAGGCCTCAGAAAGGTTACTTTAAAAGTAAAAGCAGGAGTGCTCCTTCTAGCCACGTAACAATAATCTGGACGTCTGCTGCCCTCAGCCTTCCGCGATCACAACCACCCCAGAACCACCAAAACAGCCAACAGGCTGTTTGATTATTTGGAATGAGCTGCATCAAGATTTCCATTTAATGCCTAGACACTGCAGTTCTACTAAATGAGGCCCAGGCTTCAAAACAAATCTTAGCGTGCACATGGGTGACTCATCCATTGCACTGACTGCCTGATACTTAAAATCTACTCCATTATGTTCATAAGGAGATCAAAAACATTTTGGGGGAAGGGAGGAAGTTTTAAAAATGAATAGCTCTGAGGCACAGTGGAAGCTTACAAATAAAAGATTAGTTTGTCTAATTGCAACTGCTGTATTTGCAATTATCTGTATTTTCACAGGCTGGTGTCCTGTTCTCGAGAAGCTGAATGTCTCATTTTTATATGTAAATCAGCTCTGGCAGTACAGTTAGGAGCTTGATTTAAATCAAATTGTAGTGAGTTGGATTTCCTAAGGTTTCAGAAGTTAGGCCAGTGGTTCAAGCAGCTAAGTGCTTTCTCAGAGAATCCTGGTGAGTTGGGAGGAGCAGGAGTGTCTGCCCAGCCCGTTAAGCAAATTTTCAGTTGTGCCTAGCTTCTCCGATCCTTAAACTATGCCTGATCCATCTGACTGCTATTGCTTTTCAACTTCTATCCCATGATCTCATCTGGTCCCTCTTCCCTCTGGATTGCTTGCCCCTCACGCCAAACGCCCACCCCTCTGCCCCAGCCAGACCCCTGTTACCCCACAATCTCTCTTGATCCTCCCTCCCATCCAACTTTACCTGATCAACCTGCAAACTTTCTCAGTGTGGACTTCCCCTCTGGTCAAGTTGACCAGAGGGGAAGTCCACACTGAGAAAGTTTGCAGATGGCAGGTTAAAAAGTGATAAATTCCCGTATTGCAAATTTCTCCTTAATAAAAACACAGTCTCCAGCCCTGTCCCTGTAAATATTGGAGCTCAGATAAATTAACTGTTATCTGCAGGCAACAAAAATGGTCTACAGTAATAAGCTACTGAGGATAATGCCATCGCCAAATGTAATTAAGAACTACACCTTTTGAAAGTATATACTGCACTGAGCTGTAACAAAACACAAAAATATAAAAATACCTCAGTCTTCCAACCAATGATTTATAATTGAATCATATATTGATATGGTGACATTCTTTCACTTGTTGTGATTAACACTAACAAGGATGTGCATTAGCAAGGAATCAATCAATACTCGGAAATCAGCTTTGAGTTTAAATCAAATAAAATGTACTGAATCCACAAACAATTTTCAAGTACTATAGGACAGTGCTTTGAAAGGTTAAGTGTAAAAGCCAAAATCTGAAAAATTCACTCAGTCTAAGTTAAATCAAAGGTCTGAAGGTTCTTTGGGTGATTTAATAAGTATATGATCTAATAGCTTACTTTTGTTATCAAGTCGGACATTAAACAACCGTACTAAACAAGCTTACATAGAATAGTATAACATCCATTATGGACACTTCTGATTCATTAACATTCCTGAGAGCTGAACAGTACTATTACAACACAACTAAAGTTTAGCCATTACTATCAAAGACAAAAATTATTCAAGAAGCCCCAGGGGCCATAGTAAACAAGCTGTTCAATAGATAGTCACTAGCAACATATATTTGTGATTCAAACTTTTTTTAAAATTCCAGAAACTGTGTAAAACGTTAACTTTATAGGGAGATGGAATGTACTTAAAACCATGTGCTTCATGGAAATTACAGATAATTCCCCACCCTTCCACCCCCATGCACATTCATGCAGACAAAGAATGTTTTGCTTTTCTTACCATTTTGGCTTCTGAGTGCATTTGTTGGACTTGAGGAGGAGTGCACTGATTATTTAGAGAAGGGCCTGGCATTCCCATGATATTAGAGCTCATGGATAATTGCCTATCCATCTTTGAAATAGAAGAAAAAATATATTTTAGACAGGGTTTTAAAGGGATGTCATTTCACAAGTTAACAATTGATTGAGATACATACAATTATATTTTGAAAGATATATTCTCAGCTGTACTTATTTGTCAAACAACAAGGTAACTTACAGACAGTTAAATATTTACACTTTTCCTCCCAAAGTGCTCAATTAGTGACAATCATTGAAGAACCAGTCGTGATTATTACTTTCAGAATTGCATAATTTGCTAAACTTTTAGCGTTCTTTAACAAAAGGCAATTACATATTTATTTATGTTATCATCTGTTTGTGTTACCTGATTTCAGTTGATGGAATGGTAGAAAATACTGAGATTAAGCTAACATACATGCTTCTGTAATACCCCACTATCATTCACCTGCAGCTGTGCTCATGGTGAACCTAGCCCTCAGGGAGGTGTAAGTACCAGCAGCAGCCTCCATATCCCTGATGGCACTAATCTACATAGTCGTTGGTCTCCGATTGGCAGGCAGCTGTTAGCCAATCAGACTTATGCCCCGGGGTTTTTGATGCAGCCTGCTGCTGCCCCAGTAAGTGGCTGATTGGCACTTAATGCAATGGAGCTTCTCTAAATATAGCAATGTGGAGTTCTCCCTGGTGGCAAGATCCTATTGTTTTCACTAAGTATCATCCATAATGACCATGGAATTGTAATTAACTAGTATAGAAGCAATCAGCAGAAATGTCAGGAAAGCAAGGTAAAAAGTGGGGGAGAAAGATGAACCTTTCAAAGCTCAATCAACCCCAGTCTTGAAGAAAAGACATACCAGAAGGGGCCAAACATCTGTTTGAAATGAGCAAGCAACACACAAATAGTGGACATATAAAAAGAATGATGGAGATCTTGGGATGCAATAAAACTTGATCTGAAAAGACATTTGACTTCTTCTAACATTGAGTATAAGTACCACCATCAGTTCAGCTCCTTTGCCTGTTTCCACACTGCAAGGATGCAATTTCCAAAACAAAACCTTTGAAAGCCAACACCCAACTGACCAGGAAGGAAAATCAGTACAAGAAAAGTCAAAAAAATAACAATTTTAATAACACAAGAATTAGCAGCAGAAATAGACTATGTAAACCCCAAAATTTTCTCCACATTTAATACGATCAAGGTTGATCTTTTGCCTTAATTCCATTTTCTGCCTGCTCCCGTCAGCCTTTCTTCCCCAAAAGACCTAAAATTTGTCTATCTCAGAATATTCTCAACAATGGAGTATCCACATCCTTCTGCAGTAGAGAATTCCAACTGTTTACAACTTTCAGTGAATAAATGTGTCCTCATCTTAGCCTTAAATGATCAGTCCCTTATCCTGAAACTGTGCCCACAGTTTCTCCAGCCAGAGGAAAAGATCAATCAGTGTCTACCCAATTAAGCTCCTTCGGCATCTTGTATGTTTTAACAAATTACATCTCAATTACAATTTTAAAACATAAGAGTTTACGAACATTCAATATTCTGTCAAAAGTAAATGTTTCAACAGATCAGAAATGTTTGCAAGGTCATCATCAAACAGAGCAATACTTGAGACAATGCTTCACTGTGCAGAATGTCCTTTAATAAAATGATTAGATTATAAATTTTTGCATCAATCAATCATGTCTTATCCGAGGTATGAGCTGCATTACTCAAAAATACCTAGATCAAAATGTAAGCGGAATTATCCTAACCACCCTCTTTTTATAAAGCAAGTAAAACAAAGTTTTAAGTCAGAAGCCTCTGAATTTGGGAACAAACTCTTTTATAAAAAAGAAAAACTTCTCCTCTAAGTCATCCTGAAACTAAGGCAGGAAACTGCACGTTAATGGAAACATCCACTGTGAATGCTTCACATCTTTTAATAGCAGTATGCACTTGCACAATGTATTTGAGAATGAATACTAATTGTTGGAATCACCAAAGGAATGATGTCACCTGTTAGCACTGAGCCTTCTGTGAAAGTACAGTTAGCATGCTTTATTTCAGGTTAAAAACATGGCTTTGGGACAGTTCTGGGCATTTTAAATGTTGTACAATTGTATTTAAATCTTCCAATTACAATCACGTAGGCCTGCATTTTGTGATAATCACTAGTGATGAAACTTGCTTTATCTTGTGCTTTAAACCTTTATTATTCATTGTGTGCTGTCTGCACAATGAGATACTAGTCTGAAGTATCCTCGCTGTGGGTTTCTGCGCATACAATATTTGAGACTGCTTGTCCCTTATTTCTAAGTCCTCAACTGTTGATGTATTGTGACACTCTTTTCTTGACATCTGTGCATAATAGGTTATTAAATGCAGCTCTCCAGAGTAGCGTCTAAGAACTCTCTCCTCACATGCTCACTCTATACTAGTATCTTCACTCTTTACCAATGTCAGAGTCATGTAAGCAGATAGATCATCATAATTGATATGAATTTTGTAATACCACATCTCTTCCCAACTTTCTTTCTACTTTGTCTACATAATTCCAGTAGGTTACTTTTACTTACTTAGCCTTTATAATCATTAATGTCATTATTTACATCATTATTACCATTATCACTATTCTCACCATTATAACAATCTCCCCGCTCCTTCAAAGTCCAAATTTCACAGTTTGAGATGATATGGAATCTGGGCTGGATATTCCAATCTGGTTTGCTTGAATTCAGAACTAAGATGACGATATCATACTTGTTTGGAATAGCTATACCATTCTGTACAACATATGATGTAATAGGGATATGGGTGTCCCACATCCTGTGATAACCATAGTCAGCCTCACTTCTTGACTCTACTAAGACCAGTGACCCTTCAGCTGTTCTGAAAATATGAAATCTCAGTTGTTAGGTTTGTCTAATGACCATGGCTTCTGACTTTCTGTTCCTTAACCAGACTTTCTATCTTGGTGTTCCGCTTACCAGAGTATTTGTGCTGTGACTGGAAATATGCCATCTCTGCTGCTTTTTGTTTCATCTTCAATAGTAATCGAACTGGACTAAATAAGTCTTCTGCTTAAAAGCAAACAAATCCCTTACTAGCCTTTCCCAAACCTTTCCAGAATGATGATTGGCTCTGCAGCCACTTGGCTGTGTCTGTCAAAAATCTGACATGACACAATGTAATCCTGTATGTCTTTTGAAATGCCCAGTTATCCACACTTACTATTACTCTTCACTTCTTGATACCAAGATGGCTCCCGTGAAATTTGTGTAAGGTTTCTGTTTACATTCACTCTGGCACAACAATTCCATGGTTATACACCAATAAATCTTAAACTATTGTCACGTGTTGTTTTGACACATGGTAATTTTTCAGGTCTGTTGGACTGTATTTCAACCGCCCTCCCAGACAAAGTTGTCTGACTTGTGTGTACTCATTGTCAGGTTTTTGGCTGCACAAAATTGTTTGGGTTCTCCCTCAGTTATCAACAGAGTGTTGGTTACAGCCAGAAAATAAGATTCTACTTTGACAAGAATAAGACCATCACTTTCTGCTCGATCCACTACTGTTATTGAAAGTGTAAATTATGCCTTGCCTGGAATAAAGGTTATTCCATAACCATATCCCGTTGGCCCAAGTCTGAAAATGTGTATATGTAGAGGCATTTTTGAGACTACTTTTGATCCCAGTAATATTACCAAAAGCTTGTGGTCCGTGTTGACCTGAAATTTCTCTGTTCAATCTCTATAACATCGCCAGCTATCGGACCAACAGCACGTAAATATGTGCAGACTTGAATCTGCTGCTCCTCCACTGAAACTGCTACTTCCTGGGCTCCCACTTCTGGCCTCATTACAATCTTTCCAATTGTTGATGACATGGCAAGATCTCTACTGCATCTGTCATCCCAACTATCTATTATGCATGACCGATTTTTAGCTTCTTTCTTCTTACCATTGAAATGTTCTGATTCCAAAATTTTATTCTCCAGCTCATGGATAAGCTTCAAATTCTTCTGAGGTTCCTTGTCCCACATTTGAGAATCTTCCTGCTCTGCAGCCTTGTAACCAAAGTCTTCTAAGGTCTTTTTCCAACCGCCAGAGTCTTTTCCTTTCCCAGCTGTTTTCTTCTCAGTTTTCTAAGGTCATGGCATAACTTCACAGTCCATTTTCCTCAGCTGTACCTTCCAAGGTACTGTTCTGTCCTGCCTTTAAAGTCTTTGTTTTCAGCTGTGAACTTTGGGTTCTGCTTTTACTTTAGATCCTGGCTATGGAGTTTATGTCCCTAGTTGTCACCATGCTTGTCTTGAGCTTTAAGCCAATACTATTGAATATTTGACAGCCCTATAGAGTAGAACATTGTGAAAAGATTCTGCAAGGCAGAATCTACAGCTGATGTCCAAAAAGCTTTTCAGACTTGGTAAGAGATGCACAACAGTGATGACAACCAGAAATTCCTTGGAGCTGAAACAATAGTCACATCTTAGATGGTTACAGGTTAGATCAGTTCCCGATGATCTGTAGGAATAGTCCTCAGTCACTACTCAGCCAGAGTCTCTGTGAATAAAGTTTAAATCCCTGGTGGGCAAGGGAAATCTTTTAAAAAGAAGGTGCAGATTACAGGCTTGGACACCTTAGAAGTAAACAAATTACTTACAGCACAGGTCGAGCAGGAATAGGCAGCAGGATCCACGCAACATGGTTATAGTCAGGGAAGACAACGGCCACAGAAGCAATTTAAAACAAGTCTCCAAACCCAGGCATGTCGGAAAGCCAGAATTAAAGTAATAAAGGATGAATTAGAAGACTAACTAGGCCAAGTCTAATAGAAGAAGTAAGTTAGGAGACCCTATTAATGCCACAGAAAAGGTAAGAGATCAATTTTTTCAAATGCAGTAAAGGCAGAAGGAATTTATTCTAAATGCAGACAGCAGAATTCATCCAGAGGAAAAAAAAATCTGTGAAGCATTAGTAGCACCCCAGACAGTGGGAATCATCTAGGGAAATCCATAAAGAAACAGTATTTGTCTTATGGAACTGAAAAGCGTGGAATTC